AACCTGCTCTGAATCTGCAGCAGGGTGCATGAAAATAAACATTCCTCAGCTATTTCATGGAGAAAATTGATTTAATCTGTTTAATAGCATGCAGTAATGCTGTTCAGTCAAATGTGTTTTTGTTAAGCTAAGTTTGAATCCTGATGTCTGCTGCCTGGCAGTAACTTGAACCCATGATTATTATGCCCTTTAACAGTCTGCAAAAATGGCAGGAGTCTGGGTCCACACTGGTGGCTGCACCTTAGCAAAGCTGAGCAGCTGGTGCTGCTGAAATGCAGCTCCAAGGAAGAACAGACCTTACCTTACAAACCTGCCTTCCTTGTTCTTCTCACCAGGCCATTCATATTCACACGAAGGTGTAAAGGCAGGAAAAAGACACTGACGCTGACAATCTCTCAGACCTTCATATACTGGTAAAAGCTATATACTTCTGCTGGTAAAGACTTTCTGGCCTCACTATATATATATTTATATATATGTAAAATAAAGGTTAATATTGGATGCAGTAGATGCAAAATTACCACTTTATTTTTGGTTTCAAACTTGAGGAATCATCACTGAAACAGTCTGTAAGCATTTCTCAGAGCCTGTGCCAAGGGAGAGCACTGTATTTAAATGAAGTTCAATTAATTTTCTTCATGTTTCTCTTCCTACCCCAAACTTCTTTCTTCACTATTTACTTCCTCTGGCCCAACCCTCCCTGCTCAACCAGTCATACAAACCCACCTCTCTTAACCCCAGATTCTTTGCTGAAAATCATTCCATTTCTTGTCATCTCAGTCCCAGTCCTCCTTACCCAGCAATCTCCATCCTTCTTGTCCTAGTTCTCAAAACCCCATCTTTCAACCCTGTCCTGACTTTCCAGGGAGCTTCCATATAATTCAGGTCATTTCCTCCTTCACACTGCCAGAGTGATAAACGCCTCTTAGCTTTGCCAAATCTCAGCCTTGCCAGACTACAAGCTCCAAAAGATCTGAGCATGTCGCTTTTCTCCCTGGTTACAGAGTAGGAGATGTTCAAAGACATGTAATGCAGCTAAATTTAGGTGAAACTTACTGGGAGATCAGGAAGACACATCCTTTTCCCAAAGCTGAACTCCTGGCAAGGCTCACACTTTCACTCTGAAGGCCTTGGAGGAGATGAAGAGCAATGGACCATTTTCAAAGGAAAGGTCACCTGGAGTTTAACATGAGCAAAATGACATTTCCTCCAGCTTTATTTACAGAACCAGATGAACCATTTCAACTAACATTTTCAAAGCCCAGCATGGGAAGTTTCAGCATGAATAGCTAAACCGACAAAATTACAAAAAACTGAGGGTAGGTTACTTTCCTGGGGAACCCTGGGGGAAGAGGAGCCATGCACCAACTCTGCCAGAGAACTTTTCCCCTCTAAACTAACACTGGCAGCTGAGGGGCAGCCAGCCTGCAGTCCAAATAATCACTGTGTTTCTTTTTAATAAGAGTTTGGACCTGCTTCAAGCCTGGTGCTAAAATTAGATATTTTACTAGCTTTTTAATTTTTCAGTTCAAAGTCCAGGAGTTTTGAGAAACCACATAAACCACTACTGAAGGTTTCCGTCTGGACCACGGTTCTGAGTTCAAGACATCCAACAGAAGCTGTTTTGCATTCTGCAGGAAGCCAGATGAGCACAGCTCAAAGAGGCAAAAGTGTTGGACTTCCCATCAGTTTCAAGCTGCTAATATGAAAAATATAGTTCTACTTTTTACAAAAGCCAAGGGAAGGATGAATATCTAGACACAGAGTTTTGGCTATAATCACAGTGCATGGTAGTTTGGATGTGCCTTTTCTAAGAGACCCCTCTCCAGAGGACACAAATGATTCCAAAGACATAAACAACATGCCAGCCTGACTGATGTGATTCATTGCTGCCTTTCTTTGATGAGATCACCATATGCTGTTGCAGAGCAGAAGAAGCCTTGGTGCCTGAGCCTGAATTTTATGGTTCAAGAATCACCTATGTTTTCACTCAGGAAATTTATAGTCTTTGCTAACCCTAAACTAGAAGACACATCAGACACACATTGCAACTTTTCCAGCAAACTCAGCTCCACATGGACTATTTCAGTTTTTTTCCAGTGCAGTTTTTTTCCAGTATTTTCTGGTTCTGCCATTTTGGAAGCAGACATAGGAAAAAGGTTAAAAGTCAAATCAGGCAAGCTGCATCAAGAAGTTAAGTTCAAATTTTCTTGAAATAAGTAGCAGTCTCAGAGTACCAACTCAGATCATGTAAGACTATGTACTTAAAAACATTTGGCTTAGAAAAATTACCTTTATTAACTTTCCACCAGTGCCCCCCAGAGAAGGGTTTCTACAGCATGCAAAAGGCAACACTGCTCCAGTAAGTGCTCTACCCTTTCAGTCATTCCATTTTACTTTTCTCATCAAATGTGTTAACATGCCTTTAAACCAATGCAGAGGCACTTCTGAAATTTTTATACAATTTTAATATTGTTGTTTTTTCCTTTTACTTATACTTCCAGTTTCTGATTATGTTTCAGGGTCAAGAAGAACCACATGAGGAAAATCAAATTTCAAAGAAAGAGACAGGCGAGGTCATAATCCATAATAATTTTTTTTTTCCTCTTTTAATAGTCATTTACCTACCTGATGGATTGATATGCTCAATCACTCACCTACTTTTTGAATTTTATAAGTATTTAATCTTTTCTTTTCCACTAGCAGTTAATCACTTAGTGCAAATGACGCTGCATGCTCATCAGTTACCAATATATTGCTTTATTTCTTGGTAGCAAATTAAGGCTTTATAGTGAGATTTGTACAGTACAGGCCAAATTTAAACATTAGAAACTTTAAAAACCATGTAGCACTATTCACTCAATTCAACATAGCCAGAAAAGTAGTTTGGTTTTTTTTTTTTTTAATAAACAATTAAATGTTACTAGTGAGGCCTTATATTTCATGAGTGCAAATGGCTCAAAATCCCACCATCCTCAGGGCTCAACATTTAAATTCCTTGAGGCCATTTTTAGATAAAGGATAAACAGAGAGTATAGCTGGCTCAGATAAAATATACTGTATTACTTGCTGGAGAAGAATCTCTTATTTTAGAAATATGGAAAGGAAAACCAAAATGAAATTAACTGTCCAAGGGATGGGATCACTTCATATTAGTCACTGACCAGTAACAGTAGCAATGACAAATTCATTTTCCATGGCCCTCTTTGCCTTAGTATAACTTAATTTTTAATTCAAAGCTGATGCCATCCTGTACATTAAAAAATCCAAAATTGGCGGAACACACATAAGTTACAGGAATTTTTTGCAGCAGTAGGACAAGTTCCCTCTCCAGGGACATGTCCAAACCATTGCCTTTTTTTTTTTTTTTTTTTAATTTGAGAGAGCCTTGTTATAATTATTTCCTCAGCAGTTATGTGTTTTTCTTGGGCATATTGATTTTCACTTCATAGCACTGATTTTATTAGTGTTGTCTGAAGATGATGGAACTACTGCTTATGAAAACCAGACACAGCACTTCCCTTCCTATGAGACACTTACAGTGTTTGAGCTGAACATATGAATTCACCTGTCAGTCAGGCACAGGGGGCCTGCCTGAAAATATCATCACCCTTCACGTGTCTGGCTTTCAGATCCGAGCATTACATGTGAAAATGCAGAGGAACAGCTGCCAGAAAATTGTGAAGAAAGTAGCCATGAATCAACCACCCACTCTGGGGAAGGAGCCAATGAGATGGGGGACTTCCAAAACACTCCTGCTCATGCAAGAGCAAGAGTGACCATGAGAGTACCAGGAGCTCCCAGTGTCACAGGGCAACTCTGCTGTTTAATTCTTTGTTGAATGCAGCTGTTTCTCCAGCCTAAGGGTACACACAGAGCCAAAGTCTCAAAGAACCTAAATCTAATGTGAATAACGCTTCAAGCCCCTCTGTCCCCAGGGGTGTTATCTAACATCAGGCTAATGTCTTTGAAGTCTTGAGATCAGCCATCTATCCTTTGAACTGGACGGCCACAGAAAAGGGTCAGGTTTCCAAGTGTTTTAAGGCACATACTAACTTGACCTAAACGCAAGTCCCTGGTTTGCTCAGGGAACACCCACTGCAGTGGTGCCACAGCTGCTGAAAAAGTACAGCAAAGGGACAAAGCCAGACTTGCTGGTGACAGCCATGCAGCACAGCAATTGGGACTGGCCCATGCAAGCTGCTCCACAATGCCTCAGAGCCTCTCTGCTGTCCTACAGTGCTATCTCAGCTTGTTGCAGAATTACAGCAGCTTCTCAGGCTGGTTTGCTGGCTTTTCCTTTTGTCAGGCCGCCAATACCTCATTTGTTCTCCTACACTCACGTGAATACATCACTGCTTATCAGAGCCAGAAGTCCTTATCTACTACCAGAGGATGGTACTACACATGCTGGAGAGGACAAATTTAGCAATGAAGGCAAGTAGCAATGATGCACGAGTGACCTGGAGGTGGGCTTCCCAAGGGAACCCTGCATGGGCACAATCTCCAGATTCACTCTGCAGAAGTGCTCAGCAATGGCCAGCAGGTCTTATTCTGCTTCAAATGAATATGTTTAAGAACACTACCCAGTATTTCCTGAGGGATTACAATGGATGACTATCAGCCATATTGGAAAAAGCTGGGGACCACAGACACAATATTGCATAGTCAGCTTCATGAGCATAGCTAGACTTCAGATGTATTTGACACAGCTTAGTAGCATTTCCAAAGGAGGGATTATGTGCTATTTCCTTCAGAGGCAGCTACTGTAGCCTGGGACAAGATCATGGCTCTTATGGAAATGACACCGCACCAGGGACGCTGAGCACTCATTGCTTTTGCATTAAGGCAGCCTCTCCACAGAGACCCACGGCACCTTAAAAAGTGATCATACAAAAAGCAAACAAAATAGTCTTCTATAAAACCCCTCACCCATAAGGTAGAAGAAAAACTGACTCCCGTGAGCGACAGAAAAGACAGCATTACTGAATATGGCAGCGTGTGTTTATACATCAGTGTTTTTAATACTGCATTGCAATGACAGGTGTGGGGTGTCCCTTCAGAAGAAAGCAGGGTTGGTGTGCTCTATAATACAGCGCTTGCAATGTCGTTTAACGAATCGCAGAGCATCCACAGAGACTTCGCAGTCCTGCACGTTCAACATCTGCAGGTCAAAACAGTTGGCAGCTACAATCTGGAGGCCCTGCCCGGTGATGCTCTCGCAGGATTTCAGGCTCAGGCGCTTCAGGTTGAAGCAGTTGAGGGCTAGAAACTCCAGGCCGGTGTCTGAGACCAGAGGGCACTTGCCGATGTCTAGCGATTTGAGTTTTGTGCAATTTTTGGCGAGGTACTCCACGCCGTGGTCCGTGATGCCCTCGCAGCCCCGCGCGTTGAGGTAGCGCAGCTTGCTGCAGTACTTGGCGATGTATCGGATGCCCACGTCCGTGATGCGGCCGCAGTGAGCGATGCTCAGGTAGCGGAGGCGCGACTCCAGCTTGGCGATCTCGCGCATGCCGAAGTCGCTGACAAAGCGGCAGTCGCTCACGCTCAGTTCCTTGATGGATGTGCAGTAAATCATCAGGTAGCGCAGGCCCTCGTCGGTGATGCGCACGCAGCGGCGCAGGTACAGGTGGGTCAGCTGAGTGCAGTGAGCGGCAATGGTGTGCAGTCCTTCGTCCTCCAGGACGAAGCAGTCTGTCATGTCCAAGTAGCGGATGGAGATTTGCTTCCCGTGCAAGGGAGACAGCTTGATGGAGGCCTCGCGGGTCAGACTGATGCACGTTACTTTGGAGCAGCCTAGGTGGAAAAACACAGCGAGTTTAGGAAAGCTGTAAAAACAAAGCGCACAGCAGGACCAGGAAGGCGGGTGTGGAGTGGTGTGCTGGACATGATGAAGGTATCCTCACGTTGCAAGAGTGGAATCATCCTGATTGACTGCTCTGATTTGCTGGGCTGATCCAGCAAATCAGAGCAGTCAATCAGGGTGATTCCACTGAGTCCCCACACCAGAGGGGACAATAAATTCTACTGGAGACAGTGAGGTTACTTTGAGACTGTGAGCCCTGGAAAGCAACAGACTGATTTTGTCCATATTCCACATGTGAAATGGTGCTCCTGGGTCTATCTGGGGACAGCCTATGATCTCTTACTGCCATATGAACCCAGTGACAGCTAGAGAAAAGGATACTACGTGACAACCAATGCAGTTTTTTGATCAGTCTCATTGCTGACTGGCTGAATTTGCAAACCAACATCAGAGGCTCTTTCACCATCCAAACTCATTATAGAAAACACAAGCCCGCTCCCTTTCCCCTCCTCCCCTGCCCCAAGCATTTGGAGAACAGATGTGAATCCAGCCCCAAGCCTGCAATGCGGGAAGGATGCAAAACTATGGCCCAACTGTGTGCTTGCAGAAGGGTGGAGATTTGGATAACCTAAGGAGAATGGAGAGAGCTGGTAGGAGCCAACAGACTAATAAGGGCATGCAAGGACACGGACAGACAAAGAAAAGGATTGTGTCCAATGAGAAAGTCTGGCCATGAATGGAGGTAACTAGACTGGAGGAGAAACACCAGACCTTGCAAGGAAAGACAAAGAACTAGATTAAAGGGAAAAATACACACAGACTTTCCCCCTTTTTAACCTCAACTCATTGCATAGTGGAGAGTGAAAGCTTTTTTTGGAAAGTGTGGTTTCTGCTGCACTGCAAACTGGCAGTCTTAGGCTTCTTGGGGAAATTTTTAAAATGTGCCAAGTTCAGCTGGGCACTTTGCATTAGCATAGCTAGAAACAGCTGCAAGAAATGAGAGTCTACCCATTAGTGATTAAGGCCAAACACTTTTAGCCATAAATGGCTAGCTACTCAGAGAATTTCTGCAGGTTATGCTCAAAGAGGTGCCCCCAGGTAGAAATAAAAAGACCTTTTCTGTATTGCTGGAACACTGGCCAAGCCGTATGAAGTGACTCATAAAAAGCGATGACCTTGGAGCTCCATGTACCAGAAACTCTGCAAAATACTGTAGTGTGGAATTAAAGAGCTTGAGTTGTCTGGAGACTGCCTCAAAAACTTAAATGACCCAAAGCTATACCACTTGCTATTAGGGGTTGTAATTCAGAGGTTTAGTGGAAGGTACGAGTATGCTTCAGTTCTTAAAAGCAAAAAGGAAAAATATCACTTGAGATAGCTGTGTGGACTCACACAAATGCTGTAAGAAGGGTGGATATGGACTTGAAGCACTTTGCCACCTGCAATTAGATTTCTACATTCATCATTTAAATTTATGCTGGATCTTTAATTTGGATTTCAAATTTACTTGAAGAGATGCAAAGTTTACCTTAGGCCTCACACAATTAAACGGGCAAATTGCCCACAGATCATGCAGAAGAAAGACCTTGAAGTAAAACATTCTGTTCAACAAACATCTTAAAACTGAATGCTATTTTCTCTTCAGACTGTTTCAGATCTGTCTATGCTCTGGAGCAATCTCTGGAAATACTTTTGCCTTCAGGTAAGTACTATATACACACTCAGTAACACAAAGGATTTTTTTTAAAGGGAAGCAGAACAATACTAATGGTGTAAAAAATTCACCTCTAGTATATTCTTTGAAGTAGGTGACACAAAATGCATGTAAGGAGTTCCACAGAGGAAGCTGGCACCTAGGCAGAGCTCTGGTGCACCTGATGTAGCTGCTGCTGTTGCATTTGGCTAAGGAGGTTTGCTGGATTAAGAAGTCAGTCTGGATATTTTATATTCTGACCAGAATTCAAATTTAAATCCAGCTTAATGAGAATGATGCAGCCATGAGGCCAAGGAGAACATCTGTCTGCTGAGAGTCCAAGAAGGTTTAATGACCATAATTAGAAAGTGAACGGGTCAGAAGTCTCTCAACAGGGCTGGAATTGCATACATCAGTTGTGCCATCACGGTTTTGTCAAGCTCAGCACTGCCATGTCTAGTTACTTTGGCTACACTGTAAAACATGTCATGGGAAGGATATTCAAAATGGTTTCACCAGAGAAATGAGTCCATACTGATACAGAACTGACTGATTTTTAGGCAAAATGACAGGTTCCTGGGTCTGCAACAATTTTTCTGTCCTAAATAACACAAAGTGTAAAAATAAAGCTCTTGTGAGAGGATTTTCCATAAAGTATAACTGATTTCTAAAAGGGAGGAGAAACGTCCAAACAGACAGGAAAAACATATTGGCTAGAGTGTTAGATAATAACTTTCAGTCAAGCTCAACCAACTTCTAGCAATATCTCAGACGTGCCCACAAAGCGGATGCTGACAGTGACAGAACTTACATTGTGGAAAGCTCCTAAAGTTAATACAAACATCTGGTTTTGACATTAAAGATTTTGGTAAGTTTTTGCTGCCAAGTAGCCATCCAAAGGGGAAAAGGATTCAACTAGATGTACAACTGTGAACTGGGATTTAATTAAAGAGCATCTAGCATCACCCCCCAACCACACCCCCACATCTTCTTGCTCAGTATGGAGCCAAACCAGTGAAACACTTCAGTCCTGAGAATTCCTTGAGCATGTAGGTGCAAGCCTTGTCCTAGTAACTACAGAGAGAACAACAGGAAAATGGAATCCTCTTTCCCAAACATCCTCCAAAATTACGCACATCAGAATGAAAAAAGTGGACTCAAAACAAGAGCTTGGAGACTGGTTATCCTTAATTCATATGGTACACGCAGCAACAGCTATATTCAAACCCCAACATCCTGACTTCTGAGCATGTTCAAAGGTAGGATTTCTCACTCACATGCTCCAAATGGAAAGAACTTAGGAGAAAAAGAAATTAAAATTACTTTCCTATCTCATTGATGAGACAAAATTGAAGGAAGACAGGAATTTTATTTGATGCCTGCATACTTTATACCAAACTTATGAGCTCTTAGGGACAGACTCTACCTTCTGGGTCTGAGAGTAAGATGGTTGGGAACACCACAAATGAAGACAGACCCCAAAAGGACCTATTTCAAGGCCTAGTATTATCTTTTCCTTTTCCCTGCCTTTGAAAAAGTCACCTATCTTCTACAGCACATCTATAAATAAGAGCTGTGGACCAAAGCATTTTCAACCACCTACAAGCCTCCAGGTACACTCAGGTTGTGAGCTCCAAAGCTCTAGGTCTAAATCACACAGATACATACATTTTTTTCCTGGCATCGGGGATGCTTCAACCTGGATGTGTGATTAGCAATTCAGAACTAAAGTCAGTGTGTACCAACAACAAGTAAGTCATATACAAGGTCACTGTGAATAGACTCCTGTGTAGTTCCATAGATTCCTTATTGCCTTGTGGTTTCAGAAAGCAATCACAAAAAGGGCATAATTTTGATTTATTGATATTTGTTTTGATGCCTTCCATGACATTCTGCCATCCTAGGAATGGGGTGAGAGAGTTGGGTAAATCAGCTTAAAAAAAAAAAAAAAAGGCAGAGAAAAGAATGCAAATCAGCATACACCAGATAGGCAGCCTTGGAAAAAGCATCTGGTACCAATGACTCAATAGTATCACTTTCTATCCCCTGTTGTTCAATCCTGTCTTCATCTTTCTTGTTGCCACTGGTACCTCTGCAATGGCAAACCTGGTTCGGTTGATTTATGATGGCATTAGACTGATAACAGATGAGATCACAACGTAAATGTTGAGCAGCAAATTTACTTCAGTGCTCTGCTTGGCTGCATCCTTTCTATTAAGTGCCAACCTATTTGCAGAGAGGAAATTCTGTGCAGCTGACCTTGGAAAAAAAGTCTTGTTTCCCCAGAGCAGGCTTGAAGAAAATTGTCTAAAACATTTCTGCTGATCTAAACAGCTGCAATGGCAGTTTAAAAAAAAAAAAAAAGTAAGAAAAGAGAAAAAAAGTTCAAGCGGGCTAAGTCTTGTTAAAATAGCAATGGAAACAAGGGGACCTTGAGGTTTAGCTGGGGGTGACAACAGATATTAATACCCAGAAAAAAAGCTTAGCACTTATTCTGAGCTCCTCCTCAAGTCACTTACCAGATTACAGATGTATTCATTACCTATATATAATCTACATATACATGTGTGTGAAAAAGATAAAACAAATTCTGCTGAAGTGCCTAGGCTTCACCACATGACATAGCACTGACTGCAGTGTGGGCCCTTCTATGGGTGCTCTGTGCAAAAATCTGTAATAACTCCTTGTGCCATTTGAACAGGCCATCTCTGCTAGCTCACTTCCTTTGGAAGAGGCCTGGCCACTCCAGAGGCGTTGTTGGCATTAGCGGCACTGTGATTTTAGTGGTGCCTGTCTCACAGGTGCTCTTTTAGGAGACAGGCATTCCTACTTTGAAAGGCAACACAGAAAGGATAAGTGTGCAGTTATGGAATTTGACAAACATCAAATGCATTGGAACATTCCCTGTTACCTGACACATCCAGGTGTTCCAGGTTTGGGCACAGTGACACGACATCAAAGACTGCCTCATTGGAGATGTTGTAGCAGCCAGACACCTCCAGCCTCCGCAGTTCAGGGCAGCACTGGGCAATGGTGTAGAGTCCTCTGTCTGTGAGCCGCCTGCAGCCACTAACAATTACCGTCTCCAACATGAGACAGACGTTGGGAGTATCCTGACAAAGCCTCCGGGTCAGCACTTTGAGAGCCCTGTCCACGTTGATTGTCTCGCCGGTGAGGCGAATTGTCCTCCAGAGCCGCGGGTCCCAGGCCAGGTTGTACCAGCGGCGGCACACGCGGGCGCAGCGGCACAGCTGGTTGGTGGGCAGGAAGGAGAAGATCTGGATCATGGCCTGGTCGGGCAGCCGGTCTATGTTGGCCTGCTCCTTCTGGTGCTTGGATGCCAGCCGGATGAGAGGATGGGTGAGACGGGTGGGAGGAGGCGAATGAACCATGGCAACAGTTTCCCCAGTGACCGAGGACGAGGACGTCGACGAACCTCTGCCATTTTGGAACCCAGGGGAATTCGGTGGAAATATTAATGCTGGACTGGGTGTGCTGAGCGTTCGCATGCTCAGGTCGGAATCTGGAAGATAGAACACACAATTTTAATGAGCACTGGACAAAGGGCTCTCTGCACAGCACAGCACCCTGCTAGCCCAGTTGCTAATGGAGTACGATGGACTTTGGGGTTTGTTGGGGGTTAAGCAGTCACTTCTACCAGTCAGAGTGAGAAAACGTATTTCAAAAGCCATGTGAGCAAAGGAGATGAGTCCTGAAGAGGAGACAGCAGTGGAAGGATTTTTTAAAATCTAAGGATTTTTATTCTTTATACTCTTAATTAAACACTGAATTGAATTATTATGTTTGAGTCACAGGCTTTTTTTTTGGCAGAAAGTAACTGTCCATAACCCTTGACACAGCTGTGAGCTCTTAGGGGCAGAGAATGCTGTGGTCCTTCATCTCTCAGCTCCTTCAGCTATTCAGCAGGAGGCCAAAAAAGAGCTCACAAGGCAAATACTGCTTCCTTCACCAGATCTGGGCAAATGGGAAAAGCTCAACTCCATACACTTATTTTCAATGTGTCATCAGAAAAGTAAATTTCTCTAATTCAGTCATACAAACTGAAACTCAGAAGTTCATCCAAGAACCCAGTGCATAGTTCTTCATGTGCACGCAGAAAACACTCCTTTCCAATGGACTAAAGCAAACTTCAGTTGGGAGAAAAAAAAAAAAGCCCAGAAAAGTAATTGATGAAGAAATAGCATGCCTGGAAACTTGTTGGAGAATTGTTATACAATATTTACACACTTACTGCTAGGGCTATTTGTCACATTGGAAGCAGTCAACTCAACTCCCCAAAACAATTTGCTACTTCTTTACCTTCTTTAGTTCATTTTAGTTGCCAAATCAGAAACAAAAATTGAGATTTTTTGCTACTAAGAAAGGTTAGCTTTGCTGTAAGGTTATTTCAACTGCTTTTCCTGTGTGTTGACATTGCCTACAAGTAATTTCCACTCCTGGTCCAAGTTTCTCCATGTAAACCAAGTAAAAGACTGGAAGTCAACTAAGATATAACTTTGATAGTCAAGCAAATGACATGGGCAATACATTTAGAGACTTTGAGGATATTTTAGCAGTATGCTACACAAGATACAAACAGTGTATGAGAGATGCACGCTGCTTCTGAGCACACTCCCTCCACCTCAGTACTCATCTCAACAGAAATTCTTTATAAAGGAAAGCACCACCCAGAAATGAATACAGTAACCACAATTTAGTGACCAACAAAATCACAATTTTCACAGACAATAGAGGACCAAGCTTTTCTCCACATCACATCTCCTGCAGTCACATCAATGGTCGGGCCTTTTGGGGAGTGTACAAAGGCAGCCCCTTAAGTAACACTGACTCTGCAGCTGTGTGACTGTGACAGCACAGATAAGAACTAAGCAAGATGCAGCCAGAAATGCATTCAACAAACATGTCCACACCTGGATTTGGGCAGGGTTTTTAAATGAAGTAGATTTTTGGTGAATTTGATCATTACACATAAACTTCCCCATGAAGCTTTTACTCAGCCCAGCACAGGCCTGCTCTGATCTCACTTCCTACAACAGCAGCAACCATAGGCCTGTATTTCCACAGTGAGTCCGCAAGGGAAAGAGGCACAACTATTTAGCTGAGGAATCCAAGACACAAAGTCCAATGGCTTGCTCAAGATCACCTAATTGAGTTGCAGAGAGATCAAAATTATCTTTTCACATGATGGAGGCAAAATCTATACTACCCAGCTCCTTCCCGCTTCCTCTTATGCATCTTGTTTTACTTAGAAATTCACTGTTTCAGCAAATGAAACAAAAGAACATTTTCCCCAAGGCTTCTGAGTCCATGCTATGGCTATGTGGTCCTAACACAGGGATTTGTGTATTTATGAGCAAGAACAGTATCTTCATGCTGAGTGGGTTTTGCAGACACCCTGCTCCCTTTGAGACCTCCTAATACCCCCTGGCAGCTTTTGCAAATAATTGCACTGAAGAGTGTTATTTGGTAAGCATCTGGTATATGCTGGTATTTTAAAAATGAGATTTACAGCTGGAGAGAAAAATCCAACTAGCAGCAGCCAGGCTCCTGCAGACAAGCACTGACTCCACAGGCCTCTTAGGCAACAGTCCCTGAGATTAATTTTTGCAAGGACTTACCATATGTTTGACCTCCCTCACATTATCACCAAAACCAGTGACAGTGCCTGAAGCTAAACATGTGCAGAATATGTGGCAAAGCCTTTACTTTTTGCTCCTTTTTTGAGATTTTAATACAAGAATGTTTCTAATATAAAAGAATATACACTTTTTTCCAAGTGCTGGATGTATCTTCTACTATTACATGTATTTGATATTGTCAATTCCTCTCATTTTACTTTTTCATTTGCTTTGGGCCTTTTCCTTGGTTGACTGTCGGTTGCTTGTTTTACACAAACCAGAATGAAAAGGAAAACAAAATTATATAAATAAAAAACCACAGAAGAAACACTTGTTTCTATTCCACAAAACAGAACTGAAATCAAAAGCAAAAAGTTCAAATTATTTACATGTGCTTTAAACAATTTTTAGTCCTCTGGGAATGAGTGCCTTCTGTAAGACATGGCATATTTGGAAAACATACATTTTTAGTTAGTTATCACTAAAAACACCTTAAAATTTCTGTAGGGTCTTCATTAGTTCTGCAGTCTTCATTAGTTTCCATTCCTACTTAAGCATATAAAAGCTTTTCATAGTCCATGATTCTCCCCCCTTCCCCTGGTGAGCAATGCTCCAAGCTAATACGGCTAATCTCCACTGCTTTTGGATCAGAAGTGGCATTCCTTCATCACTCCTGGGCACTGTGAACAATCAATACCTTAGACATTCTGGGTGTGTAATGAATTGCTAATATGTGGTTTTTAACTTAGACTTTGAGCTAAAAAAGGCCTGACCTTCTGTTTTATGTGTATGCTCCGTGCTTTGTGCTCTCTTAATTCTCTCATTAGTATAGCAGTTCCAGATGTGCATCCTGTATTTCCTTTCCCTTCAGTCCTGAAGGTGCATCATGTAAAACTTGCTCTCTCCATCCTTGGGGGACAGAGGGACAGACAGACAGACACATACACATGCACCCTGTCTCCCCAGCACAAAGCATTGTGGAAAAAGACCGTAGTGGTGTCAATGTGTTTAAAAAAGGGAGTTGTGAGCACATTACTGCTCAGCTGAGCCCATAATGCAGTATGCTCTCAGACAGGAATTTTGCTGGTAGCTCAGCTGAGCTCCACACAGAGGTATTCCTGCTTACTGTTCGCTGTACACCCCTAAGGGGAAACAAAAAATTAAAAAAAATAGCAGGTGAGTCCAGGAGCCTTACTGCCAGGAAAAGCTTGGAAAGCTTTCTGCTAGCATTTAAAACTTCAGCAAAACACTTGGTCTACTGTACATTTTCCAGACTTTTCTCATGTTGTTGGGAGGGGCTTCCTGTAGCACTATCTCAACCTCTAGGAGTTTCCTTAGAATTTTGTTCTTCACCATTTACTGAGTGCTAGCCAACAGGCCGGGGCAGTCAGAGAAAGAGCCAATTAATGACTGTGTAACATTAATAAACACAACCCTGCAAGTACAAATGAAGCTGCTGATTACAGTTCTCAATACACATCTTTATACACACACATGCCCTATACAAGCATTTCTCTTGTAAACTCAATTGTTTACAAGCCTGAAATACGACTTTCATTTTGGTGATCTTAGAAAGTAAAAGCAAATTAGAAAGCAGCCTTGCACTTCCCTCCCTACAACCTCTTTTGCCCCTTTGCCTCCTATCTTCTGTGCAAGATACCTTTTATTAAAGCTTTGATCAAGCCCTGATAGTTGTTTGTTGATGTAAGACAAAATTTCTCAACAATCTTTAAAGAAATCTCAAAAGATTTATTCCAGAAACAGAACCATAAAAGCTTACACAGAGGGAGAAAATGCACTAGAGGGAGTTTCCTTATTCCACTAGGAATCTGGTTTATTTCAAAGGATTTTTTCTCCCCAGTTTGTTTCCCTTAATAGATGCATATGGGAACAAAAAACCCTTTAAATATATAAGAATTAAGCCAAGATCTAACCTCCATTCTTTCTGGCATTGACAATAATATGCAGTCTGATTTCAGAACCAGAGAGAGAAAACAGCGTTGTATTTCCATTACTCCAGCAACACACACTAACACGGGACACTTGATGTCCAGATCCCAGCATGGACATTTTAAGATTGAACCATTTTCCAACTTAGGTGTGACAAGGCATGACTCCATTCATTCTCACCTTCCACTATGGCATGGTGAATGAGTCTTTTTTGAAATGAATACTATCCTGAGTTCTTCAAGCTAACAAAATTAAAATGAAAATTTTGTAAATATTAATCAAACTTGAGATTCTTATCTGACAACTGAAAAAGGTCCTCTGTGTTGATCTCCTGTCACCACTGATGTTTTTAGCAAAACTATGGCAAGAAATAAACAAAACTGTTCAAGCTCTGAAAAAGTCAACATAGCTGAGAAGAATAAAAAGCAATTGTCATTTTTGTAAACATTAGCTGCAGAGTAATGTGCACAAGAAGCATTTACACAGCATGCCAAAACCTCACTGACTTAGCATCTCTTCAGTAAGTGTTGTGTAGATATTACATAGTTTATTAAGTGCAATGTGGGTATAGACTTCACATTTTTACCACAATACCATCAACCTCAGGCATGCCAAGTAAGTACTCCTTTTACAGAGACTGGGGAAAATGGGAAATTAATGGCTACGATCAGTGGTGCAAATGGGAACAGAGGCTTCTACAGGGGATACAATGTGGGCTGATTCAAGAAGAGACTTGCGAATTTGACAGACATTTCAAATATGGCTGTGTGCCCTTGGATTAGAGTAGGAAAAGGAGTTAGCTAGCACAGCAGGCTACAACCCAGCCATTTTCTTTCCAAAGCCCTGGGTATGGACAAAGTTCCAGAAAAAGTGCTACCTACAAAAAATAAAGAGCGTCTTCCACATTGCAAACATCCTCAGGCATTATTTCTAA